TAATAATAAAGTTATCTTCATGTTCAGATCAGTCCAATAATTTATGACATTATGATCAAGCCAACTTTCATCATAGAAATCAGACTGGCCTRTTAGTATACAGCTAAAACTGTGGGTCTTTTTTAGGGTTTTGGGGGGTTTCCAGAGGTAACAAGCTGTATCATAAATCATCATCCAGCACACTAGCATTTTGGTGCCCACTAACTTTGCCAGCTTGCTTCTACTGTATGAGCGTCTCCAGGGGGATCTCCAGCTCCTACGTTTAGCCAGAGACAGCTCTGGCAGCATAACAGCCAAGGAGGCCTCCAGATCCCGGGGGTGGCCACAAACAGCGTGCTCAGTGGAGCAGTAATAGGAACACTGCCCATAGAAGCACACATTGCCCACTAGAGGGAGAAAGAAGCACATATAGAAGGYGATGAGTCAAAGTAGAGGGAACATTAAAGAGGACAAAGGTGTTGGAAGGGAAGATGAATCACGTCTTTATAATCAAGGTTTCAAACCCAATCGGTATATGAATAATTTAGGAGAGCGTACCGGGGGAATTAAAGAAGGTTTTAGCCAACTTGGGGTCAGTCGTGACATCTTTAATTTCCTTCACCACATCCACTAGTCTGCCCACCACAGGAGGGATCCTCCTGTAGCCCAAAATTCTGCAGCGGGGACGATGAGATATCAGGACGGCAAGTGTCAAAAAAAGATGTCCAGAAAAAGGAAGGGAAGAGAATGAAATGTAAAACAATGTTAGCGTTTCACAAATGTTGCTTGCTGTGATTGCATTTTAAATTCTTACCTGTCCAAGTGGAACGCTGCGATTTCTGCATTATGTCTCTCAAAGTCAGAGAAGTAATAAAGGTTGTAGTTGGTCTCYTCATCTCTCTCCTGCCTGTCAGAGAAAAGTCAAAATCACTGATACACGTTTTTATCATGATGTGATCAAGTCCATAATGATAGTTGAACTGATCACAGAGAACACGAGTGTGACGTTTAAAAGGTGTTTAATTATTGAGTCAACTTTGCATTGTATCCCTGCTCATTTGTGTGTTTTCATCAGWTTGTCTAATATTCTTTTCTGTCAAAGCCTAGATTTTAATTTGGAAACTGCACAGCTAGAAGGATTTTTAGCATCTAAAATGATGCGTAACCATGCCAACGAGTAAGCTGTTACCATGTGGATGCAGCTGATTTGGCTTTAACCAAATGGAGCAAGGCTCTAAATGAATGTTGCAGGGCAGGAACAAAACCAGAGGGAAGAAATGTGATCATTAGTGAATAATAAATAGACAACACTGAAGCACTAAATCTATACTTCCACAGAGGCGTGACTGCAGGAGCATAAAAATATTGAACATTCAAAGTGATTTTTTAAAATTATTTTGTACAATTTTTTTCTTACTTGTTAATGGTGGGATGCTGTTGCCATGTTACCATCATATCACCCCAACATATTCATGATGATCTTGAAAGGTTTCAGCTGTGATGCTGCCCCAAAGGCGACCTTTTTGTCAGTGTTTGTCTGTGTGGATGTGTGTGTTTGTTTCTTACAGGAACGAGCAACTGAAATGACGGAAGGGCTCGATTTTTTTTTGACACTACCAGAGGGCCTCATAGCTTTGCACATTCACTTAAATGTAATTCACACATTAGTACAGACTCAAGTTCCACAAAACAAAGACAAGAGAAACAGATCAACAATAAAATCCAAGAACAAAAAAAAACATAAAACTATAGAAGACAGCTGTACCAGTACCTCCACAACTGGGACTGGTAACGTGTAACACTGAGTCTTATGTTAGTTAAGCTCATAATATTTGAATTACAGCAAGTAGCTATTGACACAACCAATACATTTAAACATCAAATTTCTTAAAGGGATCCATGATTAGTTGTAACATTAGACTTTATTTGATAAACACATATTTTAACTGTAAAATAAAGACTGTAAAAATACTGTAGGCTGTTTAGTTTTTATCATTTTTAAACTTTTAGTTTAAAAATATATTACACGGACAGGGCCATTTTATTTACACACAAAGCATTCTGGGTAAATGATGACGTGGATAGGTCCTCGGTGTGAGCGAGCTATATCCACCCTGAAGGTTAATCTTGGACAATATCTGATGATCGACTCTTTTAAATGAAACCAGAGAGCGTTGACAGAGAGGAGAAGGTAGAAATGACTCAGTCTGTAACTGAAAATATGGATGGAGGACAACAGAGCTGCTTCATGGAAGAAGAACCTCAGCTTAGCCTATTAGATTTATCATTAGCCCTGAAACTATCACCATATATATGTATTATCTCAGAGCTACACATTCTCCTCTCATCACTGAGGTCCTCCATCCACATGACAGAGAGGGGAACACAAAAATGACTCAGCCTGCAACTGAAAATATGGATGGAGGACCTCAGTTTAGCTTGTTTGTCCTGCTAGAGCTGAGCTATTACATGTAGGTAATATGGCATTGGCGCTAGCGCGAAGGCTAAAAGGCTAAGCTGAGGTTCTTCTTCCATGAAGCAGCTCTGTTGTCCTCCATCCATATTTTYAGTTGTAGACTGAAACGTTTCTGCCTCCTCTGTCAATGCGGTTTGACAAAAGTGTTTGTAACCGTTATTCCCGATCATAAATTTAACTTTTTTTTTTTCTAAAAACCAGCCTTAAAGGCTGTGGGTGATAAGCATTTCTACAAGGAATGCTGGGCCTTTAATTTATATGTATTTACACTAAAACAAAAAAAATTGACTTTGTGTATTTATAAAATGTCATTAAAATCAATTCTTAATCTGTTCAAACACTTTAGTGTGGATTTACTGGAAGACTTTTATCAATATCTACTAAATGTCACTTTTTATTCACATGCTGTAACATATTCCGTGTTTTGACTTTTCCTGCTTTGCTGCTTACTTTTTCGGTTTGAACAAGGCTTGTCCGTAGTTGGGAAATGACATCACCAGCTTCAACTGCGTCCCCCCAGACTTCTGCACTGAAAAACAGTGAGGAGGATGTTACTATAGCAACAGAGCGCTCTGCACACGCACACATCCTGCTGTGACCATACACCCGGGCTTTTAATGGAGCCATATGTGGCCACACACACACACACACACACACACACACACACACACACACACACACACACACAACAGTATGTGCATTAACGTCTTGTTGTAGTCACAATGTTGTTTTCATGGTTTTCACACACACACATCTATATTTGCCAGAATATGTGAATCATTTATCAGTGATGCACCCTTTTCCACAAAGGAACGTCACACATTGTCCTACCCATAGTCAACAAATATGATATGATGAATGGAACTTTTTCCAAATGTTAGTTTGAGACTTTGTAAAGATATTTGCATTTTAATAGTATTTTTGTGTGTAATTTGTTCCCTTTTTCCTCATCCTTAGTTTCCGTGATATTTTATTTTTAATTTCACATGATGAAACAGTCAATGGTAGGGACAGGTTAACTTTAATAAACCCCAAGTTTATCTGATTATCACACTTTTACTTTTATCAATTTATCTCTTTGTATATTTCACTGTAAAAAAAAGGCTGAAGGATGTATACAAACTGAATGTGCTTTAACGTATTTGTTTATTTATTATATAACCTTTAGTTCAACAGGCAAAACATTAACAGTTTATTTTTTACAGTGTTGGCCTGAGTAAGTATGCATAATGTTTGTCAAGGCAGAATCAATCAATAACAGCAGCAGACCTAATGAATTAATTCAGTCAAAGATTTGAAGTTGTGGTCACAGCTAATGGTGGCTATTATATTTAGCTTTGAAGCAATGGTATAAAATAGATGAGAAACTTTTTATTTGGTTATCCACCTTTATTTAACCAGGCAAATCCCACTGAGATCACAGATCTCAGTTGCAAGGGAAGCCTGGGCCTGAAAGAGACCTAACATATGTGTGTTTTGGTCAGACACAGGTCAATCTAGAACATTCTCCAGATCTACAGTGAGCAAACACGGTAAAAACATGAAACCTGATGAAACTTTTATGATTGAGTGACAGTGGTAACTTTGCTGCATCACCACTGGCTCATGTATTCTTGTCCATCCTCCACTTAGCTGAACCTCCAAGGCCCCTCAGAGCTACACAGTGGTTCTCATTACAGGAGGACTTCAAAGTAAATCTCTTTTTGAAAGTCTAGCCTCAACTCTGAGGTGTCACAGAAACACCAGAACCCTCCTCTTTACCCTGATTTTACTCTCTCTGTAGCTGGCACACCTTTACCACCAGGCATTCAGCAGAGAATATCCATGTTAGGCGTACCTGAAGCTACTTCTGTTTTGAGTCGCAGTGTCATTTTGAGCTGATTGCAGTCTGAGACCAACTTTTTTCATTTTAAATATAAGTTGGGAAGAATGTAAGTGCCAAATGTGGAATAACTTTGCAGAAGAAACTTAAACTTACAGTAGTTATTCAAGTTAAATGGACAAAAGCCCTTGCTAAAAGCTGTAGACCATTAGCTAGCAACATTTTACCTAAAAATTAAATAAGTTTAATCCTTGCTAAAAACAAAAAAATATCCATGGTTTATGGCAAGGGTGTCCAAACATTCTGTCACATGGGCCAAAATAGAAGGAGGGCCAAAAATATTTTTCCTTTACCTGCTCAAATATAAACTTAGCATTGAATACTTTAATTAAACAAACAATGATTTTTTTTGCTGGAAATGGATGCGTAAATTCATCTAGGTCCAGAAGTTTAAAAGTGTTTTGCAGGATTCCCTTATTGAAATAAATGCAATTTTCTAGGTTTCAACTGGGTAAAAGATGGTAAATGGACTGAACTTATAGAGCGCTTTTCAAGTCCCTCTGGACCCCAAAGCTCTTTACACTTACAGACAYTCACCCATTCACACTCACATTCACACACTGATGATGGCAAACTACACTGTAGCCACAGCTGCCCTGGGGCACACTGACAGAGGCGAGGCTGCCATGCATCTGTGCCACTGGACCCTCTGACCACCATCAGTAGGCAAGGTGGGTGAAGTGTCTTGCCCAAGGACACAACGACTGAGATGTCGGGGGATTGAACCAGCGACTGTCTGGTTCCAGGACGACTCACCGAACCACTCAGCCACAGCCGCCCCAAGATAACACAAATGAGTCAATTCTGATCAACGCTGGGGGCTCATGTGCGTGCGGGTGGGGGGGTGTGTATGCGCTATGATGCAGTTTACTTGGCATCTGAAAATACATTTCCTCAAAGGTATTTTTAATTTGAAAAGAGCTTCACTGACTGAGAACTAATGTTGAGAGCTCAACAGACCATTTAAGTTTCACTTTCAGTTTTGCCAGAGCCTGCAGGAGTCATGGGCGGGGTGTGTGGGTTGGGGGGTGGGCGCTCTGCCATGAGGAAGTTCGGCTTAAAGACGCATCCCAGGGG